CAACATCTTATCCTTGAAATTTCAACTGGCACATACGCAACAGGGGGCTGATATCCTGTGTAATGGAACCTTGATCCTATCTTTATTGGCCTCTTCATTCACTTGGACATTCCTTCTCTATGCTTTTCCTGATTTTGAACAGTAGTTTTGTGAAACCCCACATATTATAACATATGTTGCAGAATATATTTCCTGTGGGGCTAAATTCCATGTGGATGGATGCAAAAACATGCAAAATCTTTCTTAATTCAATAATCACCCAGCACATTCATAGGTATAATAATTTACATCAGTAATAAATATTGTATATTTTTTATGTGAAAATTTTGAAAATTGAATGAGTTGAAATTCAAAATATAAAATCTTCTTTTCCGACTTTTCACACAATTTTCAAGAAAGTGTTTTGTTTCTGATTGTATCTGACACAATTTGAGTTTTTTCAAAATTGAAAAAAAAATGTTCAAAACATCATTGAGCATGTAGCACTTGAAAAATTTTGGACATCACTTGTGAATTGAAATTTTAACAAAATTTTTAAACTTAAAAAAAATGGAAAACAGTTTCTTCTAGAGCACTCCTGTTTTTCTTTTTACCTCCTGATAACTTTTGTTGTTTTACAGATGTTTGATTTGTTTTTATGATGTAAATGCACATAGATATTCTACAAATTTAAAGTTTTCTTCATTGAAAATGTGGAAAACTTTCACAATGTATAAGTATTTTTTTTTATTTATCCCAATTTTGAAAAAAGTGTTTGCATTTTTCATTGCAACTTGGTCAATTTTACATCTTTTTCAAAGTTTCAAAGAGTAAATGTAGAAAACATCATGGAACATTCATTAAAGTTTTAAAGTGAGGTTTTGTTCAATAATGGGTATGTTACAAATTTTTAAAGTTTGGAAAACAGAAAAACGGTTTTTTCAGAGACCTCCTATTTTTCAATTCTAAATTTTTTGATTTTCAAGCAATTTCAATTTTTTCTGCTGGGTTGTATGTGCACAGATGTTCTACAATATTAATTATTTATGATTTTTGAAAATTTTTGAAAATTGGCTGATTTTAATTTCAAAAACCAAAAGCATTTTTTTGCAAATTTTGTATGATTTTTAAAAAGATTTTTGCATTTTGTATTGTATCTCAATCAATTTCAAAGATTTTTTTCAATTTCAAAAAGTAAGATTTAGGAAACATCATTGTGCTTGAAACAATTGAAGAAATTTGATAATTAGGTCATAAGTACATTTTTGAAAATTTTTCAAACTTGACAAAATGGGAAGAAAAGCATGCATGGGAAATCAAACTTTTCAGTTTAGCTCATTGTAACTTTTGGGATTTTGATGCAACATCAAAATTTTTGGCAGGGTTATATGCACAGAGATGTTTCATGTTTTTAAATTTTTTGTATTTGACAAATGTTGAAAATTGACTGAGATAAAATTCAAAATATAAAATTATTTTTTCCCAATTTTCATACAATTTTTAGAAAAGATTTTGCCTTTTTCATTTTATTCCAGTCAATTTTCATGTTTTTTTCAAAACTAAAAATAAGAAGAAGTGGAACACACCATTGCGCTGTTGATGAAGTTTTAAAAAGTAAAGTTTATTGAGAAATAAAGTTTTGCCAAATTTTTAAATTTGGCAAAACAGGAAACAGAATTTTCAGAAATGTCCGTTTTTTTTAGTTTAGCTCATAATAACTTTTTTGTCACTGGTGGAATGTAAATCATAATTTAGGGCTGAATGCGCATGGATGTTTTGCAAATTTAAATATTTTTTTCATTGAGCAAAATCAAAAACTTGAAAAGCTAAAATTAAAAAAGTAAAAGTATGTTTTTCCCAATTTATCCCTGTTTTTGAAAAAAGATTTGTGTTTTTCATTGTGATTTAATGAGTTTTCAAGTTTTTTCAAAACTAAAAATGAAAAAATATGGCAAACAACATGATACTTCTGATAAAGTTTTAAAAAGTAAATTTTATTGAGAATTGCAATTTTGCCTAATTTTTTAATTTCAAAAAACGGGAAACAGAATTTTCACAAAATTTCGTTTTTTTCACTTTAGCTCATGATAACTTTTTTTTTATGGGTGGAATGTGAATTATTTTTTGGGAGTAAATGCGCATGGATGTTCTTTGAATTTACATATTTTTTTCAATTAGCAAAGTTCAAAAGGTGAAATTCAAATATCAACTATGTAAAAGTATTTTTTCCCGATTTGTCCCCGTTTTTTCAAAAAAGTTTTGTGTTTTTGATTGAATCTTGATGAATTTTCAAGATTTTTCAAAATTTCAAAAAAGACAATTTAGTAAACATCTGTGCGCCTGCAACAATGGAAAAAATTTGGAAATTCGTTGATAAATGAATTTTTGGCAAATTGTTAAAGTTTGGACCGCGGGAAACGGGACCCTCCTGCAGACCCTTCTGGGGCTCTGTGGGAGGGTTGGAGGGAGACAGGATGATATGTTGGGAGGGGTAGATAAACTGATCAACTGACGGACACCGCACGCAAGTAACTTTATTAGGTAAGATAAGGGACCTGCAGCTGAATCAATAATCCAATTTATCATCCTCATTGGAACTTTGAGTTTCTGAATGTCAAGATTCTTGCATCTTGAAAAGTGTTGGTGAAAAACAGAAGAAAGCCAAGAGTTTGTGAGGTTCCATCCGCAGGCCAAAAACGGCTGATTGTGCATTTTAAATTTTTTCTTCACTGAACCAATCCTTATTTGCTGTGGAGGTCCCAGGGCCCCAACAGTCAATTGTCATACAGTGGTTTGTGCCGAGTGAAAATGTTCTGTTGCCCACGTAAATTATGCAATAATTTCTGGAATGTATTAATTGACGTACCAGTGTTAGGATTTTCTGAATTTCAAATCCTCGTCATTCTTGAGATGGTTGAGAAATTCATTCCCTTCAGATACTGAGAAAATTTTTTGGACACATGTGAGTGGTTCTTGATGCTTTTCTTGTTAATTCTTCCCGGAAATAATTAGACTGTTCGGTTCTTATCTTTGACTTTCTATCTCGCAAGAACTGGTTTTTTTGGTGACTAGTTGGGGCTATCCTAGTTGGGGGATTTCTGGTTACTGAGTGATTTTAGCTTACAGTATTCTAGAAGTTTTGGTCGTGAACTTGCAACTGAGGAGCTGTGGAGAGAATCGGTTCGTCCATTTTGTGTGTCGATCTGAATATCGAAGAATCGGCTCCAGAACAATCTTGGTTTGATTTCAAAAAGTTCCAGAAATCCGTGAATTGTTTGTGCATCATGTGATTTTATCAAGTGAAACAGTCCCGTTATGTGAAAAACTTGTTCCAGGTCAGGAAATTTTCTCGTTCGGGTCTGACATTGAGGGAGAATCCGTTGAATTCAATTTCGAGTACGAAGCAAGGAGCCTTTTTTCGCATGCTACTTGAAATTAAGTGCTGTACTGGACCTAAAATGTTATGCTTTTCAGAAGTGCAACGTATCTGTACCAAGATGGTTGTTCGAGTGTTCCCTGCTTTATTAGTGCTTGCCCTAGTGTCTCGCGCGTCCGCCTTCAACAGTATCTTCGACGAACCAATCGATTTCGGAGCTCGCGTTTTCCGAGACCCGAATCCTCCTGTGCCCACCAAGCCCGATTTCACCGGCAATTTCCACGTCAAAGGCACGATCCATATCCCGTATGCGGAAATTGAAGAACCCTTCGAAGCCTGGCGTTCTGTGGAGAACAAGAACGACTCCAAGTCCCGCATCGACTACTACAACGGCATCATGAAAACTTATCAATTGGAGCATCCCGGCAAGGATTTTCCTTACGGAACTTCGCGGAAGGTGATTTGGACCACGGTTGGATCAGTGGATGTGCCAACGCTGGGCTGTTTTCAAGTGAATGGCACGAAAGATGCCAATGTGCGAGTGCAAACTGTGATTCCGGATTTGGAGGGATACGCGTTGGTGAAGAAGGGTGTGTTGTTGGATGGAGAAAAGTGCGACTTGTGGAGGAATGTGACGAGTTTCGGCGCGAAAACGAACACGTACTCCTTTTGGGTGTCTAGGAGTGACACTGCGAGTCGTCACTACATCCCGAAAAGGTACGAGCCGGTTTATTTTACCCTAGCTCGATTACGTAGAGCGACATCTAAGTGATGAAGTGCAGTTGAACCTCTTCAAGGAGGTTTCAAAAGTTTGAGATGTGAAGGTTCGACTGTAGTAAAATTTGTTACTATGAAGTAAAGTACAAGGAAAGGTTCTTCAGCTTGTTGCGTTTTGAAACTTTTGAGTAGTATTTATTTGATTTTTCATCCTTTCCTCGTCTCAATCGAGAATTCATCTTTTTTATATTGCTTTTCAGGTTTGAAATGCGAGGATTCAACTCCCTGCTTGGCTCTCACTACGACCACTACATCATCGACTACGACAGCTTCGATCACTCGAATCCGGACGAAACTGTTTTCGAAGTTCCGGCCAACGTGAGCCAATGCCGGAATTTCCCAGGCCCAGGAAAGATGCACGAAATGAATCCGATCGGGGAACTCATCTTGGGTTCGGACCACAGTCGCCACGAGGACGATTTCTCCGATTTCAAGCGAACCCACGGGAAATCTTATTCGTCGGGTGAAGAGCACGAACGCAGATTGTCGCACTATAAGCAGAATGCGAGGTTCATTGAGTCGTTTAATCGTCGAGGCAAGACTTTCACACTGGCTGCGAATCATTTGATGGACTTGACTCCGGATGAGTTGAAGGTGATGCGAGGAAGAATCGCCACGAAAGGTTTGTGCACGCAGTTCATAGGTGTGGACAAGGTGCGACATCTGCAGTGAGGGTTGCTTGATTTCGACAGGAGATGTGTTACTCGCATAACAATTCTTTGAGACGAGAATATGCCCACATCTTGGCAATTTGTTGCCACAAAAGAACTCCTTCTACAACAATCTTGTCTACAACGATTTTCTCTACAGTAGAGGTTTTTTTTTGTCCCTTAGGCATAGGGCTCTTTCCTTGTCTTTTAGGGGTTCTCTGCAAGAAATTTTTTCTGGTCCCTTGGATTTTGTTGTAGAGCATTGTGGAGTTAGTCCTGTATTCATTGAAAAAACATTTGGACCTCTGTGAGTAAAATTTTTTCCATTTCTGTCCAGAAAGTCACCAATTTTATAATTCTGTGATTCGTGATGTTTTCTTTTACTTTGTAGGTAAAATTGATTTTCGCAGAATTTTTGGCCATTCGAGTCTTTTTCATGAGAAAGAAAACCACAGAAAATAATTCAAGGCCCAAAAGAAGTGTTTTTACTGCCTCTTAATTTATGTAATAGCCAAGAATACGTTGGATTTTTACACACATATGGGTCAAGTGAAAGAGTGGAAATGTTTTCTGCAGTTTTTTTGTCAATGAAAGCACACAACCAGATGGAGTAATTTTGAATTACTAAGAGTTTTCCCAGTTAGTAAGATGCTGTTTGCTTTGGAGGACATCCAAATAATTCGCCCAATTACAGTACATGTAAATGCAGGAATATACTGTGATTTTGTCAATGTTCTTAGCATGACATGTGATTAGCATTAATATAGTAATGATATCTAGAGATTTGCCTCAATTTCCCTGATGATGGCCTATTTTTCATTCAAGACAGGAAATTTCTTGTGGCATTAAATGAGTTGGCTCTAAATTCGGATTTCCTTTAAGAACACAAAAGGGGGAGATTTGTTCCAGGGACATTTTTGGCACTATGCCCAGGTGGCACTAAATTGAAGGTCCTCTGAAATTGTATTTCAATCTATCCCCTTACATGCGTCTTTGCTTACACCAGAGTGGGACAGATTGGGTAGATGTCGCTTGCTGATTGCTTTTTTGGATATGTGTTGAATCATTGTGGTTTGAGAAGTGGTCTTCAAAATTTGCATTATGTGTCCCTCTGTATAGGTTACAATGGCGGCCTTCCCCACATGTACTCCAAGGAGGACCTGAAATCCGTGCCGGGCTTTTGGGACTGGCGCTACTTGGGCGCCGTGACGCCGGTCAAGGACCAGTCCATTTGCGGCTCCTGCTGGAGCTTCGGCACCACGGGCCACCTGGAAGGCGCCTATTTCCTCAAGACCGGCAAACTCGTCCGCCTCTCTCAACAAGCCCTCATTGACTGCTCGTGGCAATTTGAAAACAACGGCTGCGACGGCGGCGAAGACTTCCGCGCCTACGAATGGATGATGAAGGAAGGCGGCATCCCGACTGCCGACTCTTATGGCCCGTACATGGGTGCCGATGGCAAGTGTCACGCCAGGGACGCCGAAGTGGAAAAGGTGGGCAAGATTTACGGCTACGTCAACGTGTCGTCTGGGGACCAGGAAGCTCTGAAGCTGGCCATTTTCCAACAAGGCCCGATTTCCGTGGCCATTGACGCGTCGCAACGCACGTTTTCTTTCTACTCGAATGGAGTGTTTTACGAGGACAAGTGCAAGAATGGGTCGGATGATTTGGACCACGCTGTTTTGGCTGTCGGCTACGGAGAGTTGAAGGGGGAACCGTATTGGCTGGTGAAGAACTCGTGGTCGACTTACTGGGGCAATGATGGCTACATCCTCATGTCCATGAAGAATAATAATTGCGGGGTGGCGACTGAGCCGACTTTTGTGGTCATGTGAGGTGTAATTGTTTTGTTTTTTTCCGCTGCTTCTCATATTGGCACAGAGGATCAGTGTCTTGATTTTTTTTTGCTTATGTATAGAGAGGGAGAGAGAGCTCAGGGGACTGTAACCCTTCTTTTGTTCGATGGTTGGCTGTAAAAGTGCTTGAGATGAAATTTGAAGTGTCATCAGTGTAATAGTTGGACCTCCATTTGTCACATTTTTGTTTACTCCCTGTCTGAATTCCCTTTGTTCAAGTTAGAACTCTCTAACTGTTGGAAGACTTTTTTTGCAAATTCTCTGTAACTGAAATTTTGAGAGACCTTTGAGATGTTTTTCTGGGGACCCAAGAAGGTGAACAGCAACAGAAATTCAACTTGATGCTTTTCAAAAAGAAGTAGAGCACTAATTGAGCAAATTCACCCTTGTCTTCAAGTTCAGCATCTTGTCAGCTTTTTTCCAGCAGTTTAATGCCCAAACTATAACAAATTTTACCCTCCTGTAATTCTCATTTATTTAGTGTCAATTTTCTTTGGGTCCCTGTATGAGGTCTTCTATTAAAAGAATTGTTTTTCTGTACTGTATTTGAATAGAGTCCCTCACTTATGTGGTTTCAATACAGTGGGACAGGCTGGCTAGATGTCACTTGCTGATTTTGGCTGAAATTATCCTTGAAATTCTTGTATCACACATTCCTGAGGAAGAGGCTTGGCTAAATTTTATTTTCTCAAATTATGCAGAAATGCAACTTTTTGGCAATAAGTTTTAATTGATGAGTTTGTCTTATAGCACATAATTTTCTGTGCTCCTAGCAAGTTTAAGATGTAATCTAGGTGTCAGTTGCAGTCAATACAATTCTAGCTGTGCTGTAATATGGAAGTGCCTGTTGAATCATGTTAACTGGTAAATTTAAGACCCACTTGCAGGCCTCTTGGCTGCGTAAGTGGATGTGGTTTTCTATACCGTATATCACTATAGCAATAGTCATTGGTACATTCACTCCTGGGCACTCACTGTGGCAGAGGAAGTTGATTTTTTGGTGAAGAATGATGAAGATGGGCAATGCGGAAAATGGAGTTTGTTTCTGAAGTGGCTGTATTTTTTGAACAAGAGTTTGTTTTTTGGCATTCTGAAGTTGATTAAATGTTCTTGAATTTTCCATGTGTTGCACTTTTCTTCTGGTTTTTAATTTTGTTTAATCATGAAAATATTCTTTTGTGTGACTGGAACCAGCTTTGCTGAACACAGTAATTTCAATTAAAAGGTTCTGAGCAACAAGTATCAATTTATTCTCCTAGGAAGTTAATGCATTCATTTCAACAATTTTTTGAAGTTTGAGCGAGAAATTCAAGTATACTCCTACATTTGTGAGAAAATGCAGTTGTATTCTGAATAAATTCATCAAAATTTCTCTTGTGGACTTCAGATGTAAAATCATAAAAAGTTTATGAAATTCATGATCAAATGGTTTAAATGAAGAAGTATGGTAAGAAGGAACAGTGAACTTTGGCATTACATCCCCTATAAAAATTTGTTGAGGTATCATAGAACTATTTTAATGTGCAGTACTGTACTTGAATTTACATAAAGTACTTCAGCCCTGAGAGAAGATTGGATAATTTTGATTGTGACTGGGTGCCTTTATATCCATATAATAAAATATTATGTTTGCTTAGATAAAAATTTCATCATATTATTTCGAACATTTTGGAGAAATTTGTTTTGTGCAATGCTCCCAACTGCATTTAGGCCATCCGCGCAATGTAGAAAGATGGCGTTGACTGTAAACGCAAAAATCCAGGTGTGATGGATGAAAACTGCTAATTAATTGTTTCGGCGCTAATCCTGCATTCATCTATGACTAAGTTTCTCTTGTTGGGACCCATGTTTGCCTGAAGTCGAATTCTAGCTCCAAGTTTCTTTTCTGAGCTCATAACGTGTCCAGACGTGAGTCAAGTTGCTTGTACTGTACTGTATTTTCATGACTGACGTGCTAGAACAGAGCTCATTCTTAGGACGAACTATTTGCAGAAATTTCTTTCCTCGTTTCATCCTTGAGTGACTCTTGTCCGCGAAAAGTGCCGCTCGTTGATAAATTTGTGCCTCGGCGTTATGGGACTGCTTTCAGAAGGAAAGCCGCTGTCTTGGGAAGAAACAAAGAAATACGCTCAGCATGTCCGTGAACACGGAATTCTCCAATTCATAAACCAATATCACCGTTTGAAGAATCGAGCCGGCGATATTCTTCTGTGGGGCGATGAAGTCAAATATTGCATTCTGAAGGAAGACCCGGAGAACAAAGCCGTTCGCGTGAGTCTCCGAGGAAAAGAACTTCTCGATGAGCTGAACCAGAAAGAGTTGGCTGCCACGCCAGGGGAACAGTTGAATGCCTTGTGGCGTCTGGAATATGGAGCATACATGATCGAAGGTACTCCTGGGGTTCCCTACGGTGGTCTAATGGCTCATTTTAACATTGTTGAGGCTAACATGAAAGCACGACGAAACGAAGTTAATGCGATACTACATCCGGATGAATTCTTGCTCTCTGTGACTGCCTTTCCTCGACTTGGATGTCCGAATTTTACTTATCCTGCTCTCAGACCAACACCGGTGTAGCAGGCAGGGCGTACTCCCCAGGTACAGCGTACTCCCCCCGCAGGAAGATTAGTCCACATCCGCGGAGTGCGATTCAGCAGAGCCTCTTCTGCAGTGATCACTTAGGCAGTGGTATCTTCCACAGCATTCAGAGGAAAGTTGATTCCACAGTGATTCTTGAAGCAGCATTTATCTCCTGGGGTTCCCTACGGTGGTCTAATGGCTCATTTTAACATTGTTGAGGCTAACATGAAAGCACGACGAAACGAAGTTAATGCGATACTACATCCGGATGAATTCTTGCTCTCTGTGACTGCCTTTCCTCGACTTGGATGTCCGAATTTTACTTATCCTGCTCTCAGACCAACACCGGCTTCTGGTGCCTCACGATCCCTTTTCTTTCCGGATGGTGCTATTTTTCCGGGTCATCCGCGATTCAAAACCTTGACGAGAAATATCCGATCGAGGCGCGGGGAAAAAGTAGCCATCAATATGCCGAGTGAGTACCCGAATTTATCCCAGGCTGCTGGTTGGATTCCGTACAAATTGAGCTTTCTAACTTGAAGTGGGATAGTTTTTAGGGATGTGAACACTCCGGACCCGTTTGTGGAAGATTTTTCCGCGTTGGGAGATGATGGCGAAGCAGCCAGGGCTAATGAGCCGAACCATGTATACATGGATGCCATGGGATTTGGCATGGGATGCTGTTGCTTGCAGGTTACATTCCAGGCCTGCAACATTGACGAAGGAAGACGGTTGTACGATCAACTCGCTGTCTTGTGTCCGATCATGGTAAGTGTTTATGACGATTCGATGATAATTATTCTTTGTTTCATGATAGAAAGTGCTTTCCGTATTTACGTGAATATTAGCACCTCCACTAGATTTTTCGTGCACAGAATTCAAATTTCGTTTGTAGGCGAATCTAAGCACTTGCTTACTTCACTGGTTTTCTTACTTTCGAGAACCTGCAATTTTTTTTTCTAAATTTAGGTTTTCCCTAGAATAGGAAGAACGGTATCACACAACCCTTGCTCTTGCTGATTTGTGGGTCGCGAATGCCAAGATTTCCTGACGATGACGTATACTAATGCGAATTGCGTCAATGTGCGAAAATGACCTCCTATTTTGTTTTTGAGTTTCTAAAATTGGAGAAAAAAGAGGGTGCTTGTATTCGTGTGAATATGATAGCAAGAAATGTGTTACGTTGTTCCTTATAATTTTTCAGTTAGCCCTGAGCGCCGCATCTCCGGTTTATCGAGGTTATCTGGTTGACCGAGACTGTCGTTGGAACGTGGTTTCCGCGTCTGTGGACTGCAGAACGAAAGAAGAGCGAGGATTGCTGCCGTTGACCAACGACAGGTTCAGAATTCAAAAATCGCGGTATGATTCAATCGACTCGTACATATCGAAAGAAGGGGAGCCTTACAATGACATCGAGCTGGTTTACGACCCAGACATTTATGCTCAACTACGTGCCGCGGATGTGGATCACCTGTTGGCTCAGCATATCGCGCATTTGTTCATCAGGGACCCGATTTCCCTGTTTCAGGAGAAATTGCATCAAAATGACGAAGAAGAAGTTGATCACTTCGAGGTATAGTTGTATCTCAATACAGTGAGACCCCCAGATGCGGACATGATTGGTGCATCAAGAGTGTCCTTAAGTTGAATTGTCCTTAAGTTGAGTCTTGTTTTCCCATAGACTAACATAATATAATTTTCAATTGGTGTTCTATGGAGGAAATATTCTTCAGAATTCCATGAAAAAAATTTGTTGGCCACTTGAATTTGATTCAGTGAATATCTTTTCAACCCAATAAGATCATTTGGAGCATTCAATAGTATACTGCTGTACAGTTCATTGAAATGTTGGCATCTGTAAAAATAACATCCAATTAACAAAGAAAGAAAGAAAGAAGTCCCTCTGTGCTATAGGTAATTTTTTTAACTAGCTGAATGGATGGGAAAAGTATCAAAGAATTTTTCTTGCATAGATCTTAGGGTTGGAAATATTTGTTTTGTGCAATTAAGCCTGATAAAAGTCAATCTTCCTGAAATTTATTGGCAATTCTATTCTGCAATGTCCTCATGTCAAGTTGGTGTCTGTATGTTGGGCCTTTTAAATAATTTTTTTATTGAAAAATAAGTGTCCCTATGTCAAATTGTCCCCATTTCAAGGTGTCCACATGTGGGGGTCTCACTGTAATTCAAACCTCTCTGATTTGAATGGGTTTTGAGTCCCAGTCTGGATTTCCTTATAAACAATGCATTAAAAACCTTTGCAAATTTAGAGGGTTTTCCCCTCAAACCTCTGTAGTTCGAATTTTCTGGGGGCCTTCTGGCTATTATTTCATTGACACAGGGAAAAGGAAAGAAATAAAAATGTAACTCAGTACGGTTTTAAAGGAAATGAGATAATACTTTGACTGATGACCCCTTGCCTCCAAGTTCAGCATCTGGTCAACTCATTCAAGTAGCAATTTAAGGCCTAGAATATCATCAATTATGATTTCCTTTATTTTTTTCATCCCCAACAAAAATGTTTGTTTCCCAAAACCTCCTCAACTCAAATTTTTCTGCTGGTTCCCTCGAAGATCGACTTGAAAATGGTCGAATGTATCCGATCGTTTTCAGTGAATGTGTTTTTTCGTCATGTTTTCCAAATTCAGGCCCAATCACGGCTGAGGAGATGCTTAAATGGCTTCATGATTGTCAATTTTATTCAATTTTTGCCTTTTTTTTCTAGAATATCCAGTCGACGAATTGGCAAACGATGCGGTTCAAGATCCCTCCGCCAAAGAGCTCGATCGGCTGGCGAGTGGAATTCCGTCCCTGCGAAGTCCAATTGACGGATTTCGAAAACGCGGCCTACGTCGTGTTCGTTGTGCTCCTGACCCGCGTGATCCTGTCCTACGAGCTCAACTTCCTCATGCCCTTGTCCAAGGTGGACGAGAACATGAAGAGGGCACAGAGACGCGATGCTGTGCTTTCGGAGAAGTTTTGGTTCCGACGACGAGACTTGCACAATGCCGCCAAGAACCAGAATTGCGACGAGAACGGGGCTCTGACGCCGAGTGAAATGTGCTCTCAGGCCCCGTGTGCTGGGCCGGATTGCGCCGAAATGACGCTTAATGAAATCATTAATGGAAAGGTTTGTGCAGTCGGACCTCGGAAACTTGAACCTCTCAAAGTCGAATGCATTGCCTTCCTGTGTCGAAAAAATTTTTTTTTCCAAGTCCCTGCCTGAATTTTTCTCGAAGCGGGGCATTAAAAACCTCCAAAACTCAAAGGTTTTCCCCCTTGAACCTCCATTTTCTTGAGGCCTTTTGGCCAATTTTTTTATTGACAGGAAAGACAAAAGCAATCAAAAATGTAATTTGATGTGTTATGGAAGGAAGGGAAAGACAAATTGGCGAAATAGACCCCTGCTATTAGGAATATAAAGATAATTACTGTATTTACTTGAGTACCACGTGCACCTTTTTTCTCAAATTTCAGAAGAAAAAAAGGGGTGCGCGTCATAAGTGGGTACAAATTTTTCAAGAAGTTTTAGGAAGTTATATGTGCATTATACTTAATTATAATGGAGAAATTTGGAAAAAATGTAAGAAGACAACTTTTTTGTACCGAAAAAGTTTAAAATTGATCAGATTTTTGTTCAATTCATGTCTAAAGTCAATTTTTTGTTAATATTTTTGGAATTTTGTGGTTTTAGATTCACTAAAAATTGGGGTGTGCGTCTTACTCAGGGATAAGATTTTAGCCAAATTTCCAACTGAAAAACCCCTGAGTTGATTTTCCTTCTGATTACCTCCTTTTTTTCTAAATTTATTTTAAAAATAAAGATAACATAAAAATCCTTAACTTTTCATTTCAATTTATAATTTTTTTAGATTATCCTAGTTTTTTTTATTATAAGTAATAAATTTTAAATTAATTTCATCTTTATTTATAATAAAAAAATAAATAAAATAAAAAAGAAAAAAGAAATCAAAATAATTTAAAAGAAATATAATTATATTTATTATTTTAAGAAATAAAATTAAATATTTCTTATATGTATTCTTTTAAGAAATATAATTATATATAAAAGAAATATAATTATATTTATTCTTTTAACTTTATTTTATTTTTTTATTTTTCTTCATTTTTATTTTATTCAATTTAACGCTTAACATCAGCCGTATTACTGCAACGATGACTATTTTCAACTAATCACTTTTCTTCCTGCATTTTCGAGATGTGCCAAGTTGATTAATTGTGCTTGAGTTGAATTTTGTGTGGTATTTTATTTCTGCAGGATGGAGAGTTTCCCGGGTTGATTCCGTTGATGCAGGCTTACTTGACCACCGTCGAAGTGGACACTGACACGCATTGCACAGTGACCCAGTATTTGCGGTTGATTCGTGACCGGGCATCTGGAGAGCTGAAAACTACCGCCAAGTGGATTCGAGACTTCGTTGCCTCTCATGCTTCTTATAAGTGAGTTTCCTCGTATCCACGAGGCCTGAGACCTTTTTTTTTCTCTCATGCCCTTGTTTGTTTTTTCCCCACGTGTGTTGAAGGAATTTTTCTGATGTATATTTTTATTTTTTTTTTCTGTTCCTTTTTTTTTTTTTTAGTTTCAGGTGGAATGCGACATGGAATGAGTCCGTATAAATTTTTGTGGGTTTCTTGACGTGCTTGTTTTTTTTTTCTTTTTGCGTAAGGCTTTGAATCTAGTCGTTGAAAATTATTTTCTTGTTGTCGAAAATTATTGTTTTTTTTTTTTTTACAATTTACTATTCCAAGTGAAGGTGAATGGTAGTTATGCTCCGAGGTACGTTGGTTATCATAGTGTATCAGGTTGCGGTTATTTCTTGTTGACTGAAACTTTTTTGGTTAAAAGAGGGCTCCTTGATTTTCTTGAAAGAATTCATTTACTCGAGGTACCACCTGTATTAGTGTGCCAATTTATTCAAGGTCCCTCAAAGTTGAAACGTGTCAGGTAAGGGTATTTTTTTTTTGGAAGAAAAATTGTCGAATTTATTATTCATTTATTGATAATTTATTTCTGTAGTATTATTTATTTATGTTATTCTATCCCTGTAGAATTGGCAGGGAGGTTGACTTGCAATTTGACCCTTCATCTGCAATTCAATCTGCTTCAACACTTTTTTGAGTCCTATTTTTTAAAAATAATTCTTTGTTTTGCATGATAAAAACATCAACATTGAACTAAGTGGACTTGTATTTAGACTGTTATTCCATGATGCTTTTAACTGCAGTTAGACCCCAAGATGTGGACATAATTGGTGCATCAAGAGTGTCCCTAAGTTGAGTCTCATTTTCTGTTGGACTTACATTATATAATTTTCAATCGGTGTTTTATGCACAAAATACTCACAATCATACCATGAAAATAAAAATTGTCTCCCAATTTAAACTGATTCCATCAATATATTTCAACACAATATTGACATTTGGAGAATTGAATACTGATTCCTCTGTACAGTGCATAGAAATGTTGGCATTCCCTGTATAAATAACATTTGAGTGAAAAAGAGAGAAGGAAGTCCCTCTATGCTGGAGATAATTTTTTGAAATTAGATGAATGGATGGTGAATTGGTGAGAGAAATATCCAAGAACTTTTCTTACATAAATTTTTAGGGTTGGAAATATTTCTTTCTTGTAATTTGGCCTGAAATGTATTAGCAATTTTACTGGAAAATGTCCCCATGTTGAGTCAGTGTCGTCATGTTTGGCCTTTTGTCTTATCAATTTTTTTAATGGGAAAATAAGTGTCCCTGTGTTGAATTGTCTACAGGTTGATGTGTCAGCATGTGGGGTTCTCACTGTATTTAGTATCATTAATTTATAAATTATTCATTTGTTTCTTCTTCTTTTTTTGTTGTGGTTGCAGGAAGGACTCGGTGGTGTCGGAGGACATCAACTACGACCTGATGGTGACGTGTCGCGAGGTGTCGGAGGGTCGGCTCCACGTGCCCGAACTGCTCGGCCCCCAAGGTGCGGTGAGGTCGAAGACGAATGACGACATTCCGCGCGCCATCAAGATGGCGTCGCAGATTTACGACAATGGCCGGCGCGTGGTGCCGCCGAGTGGCGCGGCGTCCGTGTCCGACGCCGTGGGCGCCAATTGACGAAAAACTCCACCCCCTCCCCACGCTCTGCCTGCTGCAGGTCTTCCCTCTCTCCTTCTCTTCTCTTGCGCCACAACCATCCATCCATCCATTCATTCATTTCTTCTCTTGTCTCTCTTTTTTTTCTTTTTTGCTTCCTTCTTCAACTCTGTGTCCCTTGTTGAGAAAAAAAAGAAAGAAAGGAAGGATACAGTGAGGTCCCGAGATGCGGACGTGATCGGTGCTTTGACCTTGTCCCTGATGTGTCATCGCGTCCGCATGTCGGATCAAATCTCCCGATAGCCTTCAATGCAGACATATTTGATTCCTTTTTTTTAATTCACGCCAAAATCACTCAGATTTGAAAATGTAATTGATTTAGAAATATTTTGAAAAATTCACGCATTATTCATTCAATTTTTAAAACTTGATGCAACTGTTTATCAAATCTGTTCTCCTGTCCTGTTTACCAACCATTTGGAAAAAGTTGAATAAAAATTGGTTTCTTCTCAACTTGAAGACACAGAAAATCATTGTGCAGGAGAAAACACCACAGAGTTCTGATTTTTTGGCATCGAAAGGAATCCGAAGAGCAAATGAAAAGTAAGCACTGATGATGGGAAAATCGCTGAGAAGAAGCGCAAAAATAGCGTGTTTTTCATTATGAATGAGACGTTTTTTTTTCTTTTTTTTGCGAATTTAAATGGCTCGATTTGTTGAAGAGCTATCGAAATTTTTCACTGATCAATAAATTTTATTAAGTGTCCGTATCTTGAGACACTGGATTTTGGTGTGTTTCAAATGTCCGTAAGTCGAATCGTTTGCATGTCGGGGTCTCACTGTATGAGGAGGAATTGAGGAGCAAAATTGACTACAGACTTTGTAGGCGCCACTCTGGAAAAAAACTCGGTTTGGGCATCGAGCAGAAGTTTTTTTTTTCTGAGAGGCACTTTCACATTTCATTTTTGAAAAATGTTTCTAGAACATCTGCTCTCTGGTGTATCTCTCTCTCTCTCTCTCTCTCTCTCCATCTTTTACATGGATGAAAATTGGTCCCTGAGTAAGGCTCGTCGCGGACAACCGTTCGCGAAATATATTTTCAGAGAAGTTGAAAAATGTTGGTAGGCTTTTCGGGGATCTGCTCATTTCTTTTTTGGGGATTTTTATTTTCATTATTATTGTTGATGGTTTTTCGAATACGATACTGTAATCCTAGGAAAAGTCACGAGCATTCGGTTGTAATTTTGCTGAGGAAAATGGGAGAAATACTGAGACCAATTGAATTCCTTTGTTGGAATGGTGCTGCGGAAAAAATTCCTGGAATCCCGTCATTTGAGAAAAATCGCCGAAGTAGATGCTATTCATTTATTTTGGCAAGAATTGTTTGTTTGTTTGTGTTTGAAAAATGTATGTGAACGTGTCATCGGCAGCGTAATTGTAACAATTTCGGATTAACTTCAGTGAGCGTGAATTAATTAACAAGAAAAGAGTACTGTATTTACTTGAGTACCACACGTACCTTTTTTCTCAAATTTCAGAAGAAAAAAAGGGGTGCGCGTCATAAGCAGGTACAAAATTTTCAAGAAGTTTTAGGAAGTTGTGTGTTAATTAAACTTGATTGTAATGGAGAAATTTGTGACAAATGTACCAAGAACACATTTTTTACTGAAAAATTTGAAAATTGATCGGATTCATGTTCAATTCACATCAAAAGTCAAATTTTTTGTTTTTATTTTCGAAATTTTGTGGTTTTAGAGTCCCTAAAAATGGGGTGCGCGTCTTACTTGGGGATACAATTTTAGCCAAATTTTGAACTGAAAAACCCCTGTGCATGCCTTACTCAAGGGCGCGTGGTACTCAAGTAAATACGGTATTCACTGATTTATGTTTCCCTTTGGATATACAGTACATGCAACCCCTGCACAACGGACTTAATTTGTGCAAGTGTGAAAAGTCTGTTATGCAAATTCAATGATGAAAAATTGAAATTTTCACTTCTTACCATTAATTTTAAATCAACAGAGGGTCTGTTGTGCGGATTTAGTCCATTGTGCTGGAAGGAAAAGTGCCTCAAATTTCGGTCTGTTCTGAGGGGGTGGATTGTGCACATCTCTGAATCCTGTTTTGGGGACTTGGTTTCCGAGAATGCACTTCTTGCGTGGATTTTCTTCCATTTTTAAAAATTCGAGGAGAATTTAAATTTAATTTGTCAAATTAATTTCAAAATCAGCACTAGCTGACTTTGTTGTGCTTGGAAAAAAAATGAAATGAGATCAAATTCGATTGTTGTTTTTGTCTCTGATTAAATTTTGGGAATTTTTATTGAATCTCGTTTTGAAAAATCTGACATTGGGATAGAAAGTCTGGCGATTTTACTTTTTTTTTTCTTCTTGATCTTCAAAGTGGGGTTTTTTGTTGTCTGAAAATCGAAAGAAAAACGTGCAAACATTTTAAAAGTTTTTAATAATCATTAAGTGATTATTAGAATCAATCTTTTGCATTTCTAGAGTAGCGCTGTGTGAAAATAAATATCTTGAAAATAATCTGGCATTAAAATACTGTAACCTCTTAGCTCGGAAACGGGGCTTTTTCAATAACGCTTATTGTTGGTTCAAATATCCCACTTTTTTTTATTTGGGTCCTGATTTGATTTTGTGGGGCCCCAAGTTGCGGACGTGATTACAGTGAGACCCCAAGATGCAGATGCAATTGGTGCATCAATCCTGTCCAGATGTCAAAATGTCCCCAAGTTGAGTCTCATTTTCCCTTGGACTTCAATGCTAATGTGTTTCATTGGTTTTCCTTTTTTGTCAAAAATTGGAAATAAGTCCTCAAAAGAATTTGATTGAAATTTGTTTCCCTGAACTTCAAGTTGTAGAAAACAACAGTGCAGAACAAAAGCGCGTAGAATCTGATCTTTTGATATCAAAGAGCAAAGGAAAAGAATAAGTCTTGCTAGAATATGCACAGGTGATGGAAAAAAAACTCTGAAGAAAGAAGCACAAAAGCAGCTTGCTTTTGATTATTAATTAGAGATAATTTGTTGTGATATAAATTTTTTTTTCAGTTTTTGTGAATATAAATAGCTTGATTTGTTCAAAAGATATCAAAATTGAAAAATGAATTTGTTCTGATTTTTTTTGGGAAATTTTCAGAAAAGTGTCCCTAACTTGAGACAATGTCTGGATGTCAGGCCATTTCTTTTCAGTTTTCAAGTGTCCCTAAATTGAATTGTCCATTTACTGTATTTCTAAGGTTTTGTCCATAAGTTGGAACATGTTTTGGTTCGTATCACATTTTCTTGTGTACTTCAAAAGTAACATTTTATATCCCTACCTCTTTGTGGTCAAACATTTGAAAAAAATCTTTTACAATTTTAATCAAATGTTTTTCTCAACCTTGAGATGCAGAATATAATCTCAGAAAATCTGCCCTTTTTGGCATGAAAAATTGCAAATGAGTCAAGTAGCAAAAAAAAATTGGCACATGCATTGCCATTCTGTAAATAGTTGACTGGGAAAAGTCCTAGATTAAAAAGCAAATAATTAGCCTTTTTGGATCATTCATTAGAGCAAATTCATGATGAGATGAATTTTTGTTTCAAGAAATAGCTCCATTTGTTCAAAGAATATGGAAAAATACAAAGAATCTGTTTTTTTTTCATTTCTTTGGAAATGTTGGCAAAGTGTCCATATCTCGAGGCATTGTCTAGATATTGGGGGCATATTTTCTGAGTTCACAGTGTCCATAAGTTGAATTGTCCGCAATTTGGGGTACTGTTATATTTTGGAGGGTATCAATATCTTTTTTTTTTCGTCATGGGTCCCTTTTTAGTCTCTAAGCTTGCGTCAGAAAAATCATGAAAGATTTCATATTTTTTGAGTGAAGCGAGGCTTTTTTTGTGTGGATATTGTGACAAAATTCAGCGTTCAGAATTTTTTTTTGCAACTTTGAATCTTGAATTTTTCTTTTTAAGATTTAGGAATTTTTGATGGCTACAATTTATCTTGACTTTTCCGTCTCATTCATTTAAATGTGAGGGTCTGAAACAGCTGTAATCTTGCCAAATGACAAATTCGTGGATCCTTTCGTTTTTGCTTGCCAATGTTTCGGGTCATTTTTTTTTTTGTGTGGTGGTAATCGTGTGCAGAAATTGCGACTTTTTTCCGACTGTTTCTCATTCCTCGTCAATTTCTCGGACCGATTATTCGAAGAAACTTACTGTGATGTATTTCGAGGGATAGTTAGTTTTTCAAGTTTCGACTCGCAGTGTTTTCGAAAGAAAAAAAAAAACTAGGGCAGAATTTAATGTGAGAGTTGTTCCGTTTCCGCGAAGGTTTTTTATTTTTATTTTTTTCAGTTTTCAAAAAGTGTTCAGAAAAATTGGTGCTGTTTTTTTTTGAAACTGGAGGTGTTTTTAAGTCGGGCTTAATTTTGATTTCAAAATTTCCTGTTGCTTTTGATTTACAAAATCTCTCTTGGCAATTTTTTGATTGCTAATGTTTTTTTATGTTTGGCCCAGTGTTTTCAAACAGGAGTCGAATGAAAGGTGGAATTAAGTGCAGATATCTTCTCAAGGTTTTCTATTCTCCATTAATCTATCAAGTTTCAATTCCTTTTTTTTATTTGCTAGAACGTTATTTGAAGTTTTGGGGGTAGAAACTTTAGACATAATTCCAAACAAATCTTGTTGGAAAGCATTTTGAATTTCATATTCATGAATGACTTTTTGCACTAGTTGGAAGTAATGAATTTTTTTCTGAGTGTTTCCTCCTTTTGAAGGAAGCAGTGCTGATTAAAATATTAATGGCTCACAGAAGTGGAAATCTTTTTACTGGAGTTGAAAATCATAATGGATAACTTTAATGTTGGGAGAATTTTCCAATCTAGAAACTTTTCTGATGTGAAACCAAATAACACTATTTTCTTGATCATATGCTGATGTGGCAGAAAGTCAAGTATAATTTTTGATTTTCTCTGATTTCACAGGAAAAAATCTAAAATGCTTACACAGTAATATTTTGGCACAGTATTAAGTTTTTCATAGAGTCCCTGGAACTTGGAAACAATATTTCACCTGAGAAACTGAGGTAGAATATTATACTGTACTTTGATATACTGTAGTTGAAAAGTAAGTTGGATTTTGGAAAAAAATGTTCTGCAATTTCAGAAATCAACTTGAAGTAAGCAAGTCTCTCTATATGTAACTTTTTTTCTTGAAGATTCTTGGAAGGTTGAAACAGAATTTTACCTGAGAATCCAGGGTAAAATATTTTACTCTGATATATATGATAGTAAAGTAAATTGGATTTTGGAGAAAATTCTCCAATTTCAGAAACTAACTTACAGTAAGCAAGTCTCTCTGTAAGTATCATTTTTTGAAGAGCCTTAGAAAGTTGAAACATAATTTTACATAAGAATCCAGGGTAAAATATTTTACTCTAATATATGATAGTAAAGTAAGTTGGATTTTGGAAAAAATTCTCCAATTTCAGAAATTAATCTATAGTAAGTAAGTCTCTCTATATGTAACATTTTTTTAAAGAGTCTTAGAAAGTTGAAACAAAATTTTACCTGAGAATCCAGGGTAAAATTGGTTACTCTTATATATGAATGATAGTAAAGTGAGTTGGATTTTGGAAAATGTCTGTCAGCAATTTCAGAAAAGAGCCAAGAATTCTTTTAGTTCTTTTTTTTTATAAAAATTTTTAAAGAGTCTCAGGAAGTTGTTACAGCATTGTATCTGCAGTACTTGTAATCATTTTCAATTTTAGTTCTTGTTGGCAACGCTGCAAAAAAGTAATCCATTTTTTCACTGCTTCTTCCTTTTTTCTCAGTAGTCACTCAGTCAGGTGTTTAAATTTCCAGATGAAAGGAATTTGAGAAAAATTATTTCTCCTCTTCTCTTATGATCTCTTGGTTTTTTTTTGGGCAATAACCAAAAATTGAAAAATAAAATCTTGCCTTCGCAGAAATCGAAAAGAAAAACCTTGTCAATTCCCCCTCTTTGGTGCACATCAAATGTTTGTCAGGCA